CGTAGTACTTTTTCCCCAAAAATATTCAATGCGAAACCCGTAGGGATGCCACTGTTTGAAAAAATACAAATTTGTGTACATCAGAAAATGCGCCTTGAGGCATGGAACATATGTACCAAATATGCCAAAGATGTCTACAAAATTATCTCAGTTATTATTAAAAAACTGATTATTTTTGAAAACTTTGCCACCCTGTATCTCAAAAGTTAAGGCGTTTAGGACATACGTCAATAGGAAGTTTTTTTCTTAAAATGGGTCTAAGAATTACCTCCTTAAATATTAGCATGTGTTTAAGGAACACCCTGTATATAAAATCAAGCAATCGGAACTGGAAACAACAAATATAATCAAATATTTAGGAATCACTCTTGACCCAAAAACGTCATTCAAACCCCATATTGCAAATGTTACTTTTAGAGTACTAAAAATATTAGGTTTTACTCTTAGATCTGCATAAGAATTATCTCTCTTTTCCTTAAAAATCATATATTGTTCAATTGTTAGATCAATAATCGAATACAACTCAACAATTTGGTGCCCTTCATAATGTGGCTATCGATGTTCTTGAAAGTGTTCAAAACAAGTTTTTAAGGTACCCTGCATATAAACTGGGATATCACATTTATGAATATAACTATAAAACTATATTGGACATTTATAACTGGAATTCTCTGGCTCATTAAAGATTATAATCAGATCTTACACTAATTCACAAAAAAATCAATGGTAGCATTAATTCGGAACTTGTTGAACTCATAACTGTAAATGTGAATCCAAAGAGAACGAGAAATACAGAAATATTCAAAGTATCCTTTCATCATACCAACTATGGCCAGAATGAGTCTATAGGTAGAATTTTGAGACTTTATTTTTTAATATTTTTTCCTTACATCTAGCTGATAGTTATAGTACATATGTGCGAATTTGTCAATTATTTTGTGAAAACAGGCAATACTTTGAATAAATGAATAAATACATAAAATATAAGAAATTGTGCAGGCTCATGAAAGAGATTATTTAAAAATGTTCGGCAGAAGAGTGATCAAAAGGAGGAAAGGTTGGGTGATGAGAAAACACTGATTTTCTCTCTTCAAAGTGATACAATACAAAATCAAAGGGTATCGATTTTAATGAGGTACTGAAACTATAAAATGAATAAAATAATTGAAGATATGAAGACAAGAGGAATGACAATGAAAATAATAAGAGAAACACATACACACAAAATGTGAATTGTTATTGAGTGCATACAAAAACAAAAGAAAAGCACTAAATTAGTGATGAAAAGGCATGCAAAAATGATATAGAAATATTTTTCGAGTAAAGAGGAGGCTAACAAGATCAATTTGAAAAAAATTCAGCTGGTCAAAAGGAAATAAAAAAGTAAAAAGATGCATTCTGGATGATAATTGAAGAATTTGAACAAAAAATTATGAACCACAGTAGAAATACTAAGGAAGTCATTGTTTTGAAAAAAAAAACCGAAACATTCATCTCTTCCAGATTTTTCACAAAAATTTTCTTTAAAGTACTTATTTACTATTAGTGCACTTGTCTCTTAAAAATAAATTCGGCCAGACAGCTAAGATTTTTTGAAGAAATGGTAAGCAAGAACAAATATCTGGCTCAAGCAACAGTGGGATAATGAAGTCTTCCAACAACATCCTGGTGTATTTATCATAGCGTTGACACAAAACATTGGTGGAATGATGAAGGCAAGTAGAAGAATCATGAAAAAATTTTTTTGCACTACAGAAAAATTATAAAAATTTCAAAAAACGAGAGTTCCTTTTCTGACTATGTGACCGAATTCTTCATGAGTATTTAGAGATCAAAAGTTACAGAAACATTTCCGTTGAAAATATAAGGAATTCAGCAGAATTACACACAGACTTAGTTTAGGAAATGAATTTAAATAGTTTGTTGAGAATATCAGTAGTAAGTTGATCTTATATTTATTCACGATCAGTTATGATTTCACATGTTGTTCAGAATTTCTTTTTCACCTATGAATGTTGCTGTCTCTTCATTTATTTCAGAAAAAAAGTATTCTGTATGATGCGAGCATTCTGTGAGTAGTATATTATTCCCGTTCTTATTCAAAGTTCTCAGGGCTGATTTTTTTCTTCCTCGTTGATGTTGTGCCTCGGGAGATTTGCGTGCAGTTGAATCCGCGTCGTTTCTCTCATGACCTCCAGGCTCCTTTCAAGGGAAGATGGCGAGTGCTAGATTCTACGTTGGCAACAATAGGCCGTCATGAGTATTGCAGTAACAGCGTAGTTGTCGATGGATTTCTGGATCATCACCAGTGCCTTTTCACCGTCAATACTGGAGCAATGAGGTCACTAATGAGAGCCACCATTTCCAACACAAGCCGTTTTAAGAAATTATCAATAATACTCGTTCTGGAAATAGACACTGGAGATAGACTGACGGTAGGCTGACGGTCTATGGAGAAGCTGAAGTGAGACTTAGGCTTGGGAATTGTGAAATAGAAACCAAGGTATTAGTGGCCAATATCGTCGACGAATTCATTTTGGCACTAGACATCAGGCCCCTCTACGGATTCGTGGTGAACATAAGGAACATAAGGAAAACACAAAGAAAATTATTCAAGTGGAGATTGCTGGACCTGGTGGCTTAGGCACAGCATTGATATAGCCATCCAAAGGCTCTGAAGTAAGAAATTTCGTAGCCAGATCTCTTGTAAATGATAACAATCAAACCATTCCAGTTAGAATAATCCACCCTAATAATGACAGGGTGACTCTAAAGAGAAAAGGAAAGTAACAAGCACCTGCTAATCGTTTGTGAAAATTGCTAGAATCGAGGAAGAAGTCCCTCTGCAGCGTGCTCAACAACCAACGAAGGAACTCAACGACTCCTTCAGGAAGACGTGGAGCCATTTGTCTAAAAGAGAACTGTGCAAGGCCACCCGATTGGTAGAGGAAGAGAACTATAAGTTTCTGAGGTGCAAAATCATTGGTCGAACGGATTTAGTACAACATAGGATCGATACTGACGATGCCAAGCCCATACGCCAACCACCGAGACGACTTTCCTTCGCAAAGCAGAACGAAGCTTGATCCATTGTTAAGGACATATTGGAGGAAGGAGTAATCGAAGAATCAAACAGCCCCTGGTCGTCACCTGATGAGTTGGTGACTAAGCAATATAAATCGTCTAGATTCTGCGTAGGCTTAAAGATGTCATCAGAGATACCCTCTTCCCAGAATAGATGACAGCCTAAACATCGTTGCTGAATACAGATGGTCCTCAACATTTGACCGTTGGTACTGCAAAAAAATGTTTGGAGCTTATCTTGATGACATTACAGTGAGCGGAAGTTTTTTTGAAAATATCTGCGGATTATTCATTTGCAGATCACTCCTAAGGAGTGCTGCTTCTTCCAGGAAAAAATGTAGTTCTTGGGACACGTTGTGTCCCCAAAATGAGTTGAAACAGATCCAGAGAAAATCAACGCAGTGCAAGAATGGCCAACACCGAAGAACAAGCACAACGTAAGAAGATTCCTTGGACTCTGTAGCTATTACCGGCGATTCGTGAAAGACTTTGCAGACCGCTGCATAGCTTCACTGAAAGGAAACCCCCTTTTGTTTGATCACCAGACTGCAAGCAAGCATTTAACTGCTCTGAAGAGGCGTATAATTAGTGCTCCAGACCTAGCATACCCAAAGAAGGTCTTGTTTATACACGACACGGATGCATCCCAACATGGAATAGGAGCTGTACTCTCTCAGTTATAAAAAGAATAAGAAGTCGTCATTAGTTATTTTAGTAAATCTTTGGGATCATCTGAAAGAAATTACTGCATCACGAGAAAAGAGCTCCTCGCAGTGGTCAAAGCGGTGAATCACTACCACTCTTTTTTATATAGCCGTAAATTCAGGTCAGACCAATCAGCACTTCGGTGGCTTCTCAACTTCAAAACTCCAGAAATGAAAATAGGCAGGTGGCTCGGAAACTTACGATTTTGAAATTCGATATCGGAAAGGAAAGTGACCATGCTTGACATCCGGATGCAACGCCAGGAGGACAGGGATACCTAGTTACTAAGACAAGAAATTTCCATCAGATGGGACAAGGGCAGAGACTTTTTTATGGACAGCTCTGCTAGAGAGATAAGCTCCCTTATCTCCCTCTGACCCGGAGGGTAGCAACCTGTAAGGGTCCCTTGTCAAGGGATACGTACAGAAGATGTGATCAATCACCTGACCGTGGTGTGGTACGATTCTTAACTGCCTCTGAAGGTGACACTACTTTCATGACGAGGCAAGAAATCGTCGTAGCGCAGAAGGAGGACCCAGTCTTGAAAACTGTACGAGAATTGATAGACAAAGGGGTGAGGCCGGAATGGCAAGTGATTTACAAGCATGATCAGCAAGAACAGGGTAACTGACAACAATGGGACTCCATGTTCATTCGAGATGACCTATTTACTCGGAAATGGAAAAGCTCGGATGGAAGAACCCACAAATTCCAGATAATCCTTCCAAAGATGTGTATCCCGAATATATTCAACTGGCTATACGACAGTCGCACTGCAGGTCATTTCAGAATAAATAGACATCTAACGAGATTGCGTGAAAGGTACTATTGACAATTGCCGCCGAAACGTTGAGGAGCGGTGCAAGCGCTGTGACCTGTGCACCTCGAAGAAGGGTCCGATGATAAGGCTGAGAGGAAAGTTGAAGAAGTACGTCGAGAACTGAAGCTTCTGATAGACGTAATGTGTGACAGTCCATCTAATGAATCTCAAGAGGTACCCCTTCCAGAGTAGGTACGTAAATAACCTGAAGATGGGACTGGAAATTGTCCACAAATCTGCCAGAGACAGGATCAAGATAAGATTTGACAAAAAGTCGATGCTGGTGAGCTTCAAGGAGGGCGATGTAGTGTAGCTCTACCAACCCCAACGTCGAAAAGGCTTGTGTCCCAAATTGCTGAGAGCATGGCAAAGACCTTACTTGGTAATCAAAAATATGAACGATCTGGTGTACATAATCCAACTGTCGTCACCCAGAAGCAAGTCTAAAGTTGTCAACACAGAGCTACTCTCTATTTTTGTGTTCGAAAACATGATCTGTGGATTATCTACACTTTTTCTTGATAATGTTTTTCTATATTCCCAAATTCAATCCGCTCCTTCGAAATTTTCATTTCCTTAATGTTGAATCAGAGATTCGATCAAATCGGGGATTTGAAGCCAAAAAGTTGATTAAATACAATACTATAATAAGTGAATTTTTAGGTTTTATACACTTTTTAACTTACGCTATCACTATTAAATTAATTAATTTTATCTATTGAAATATTTGTTATACTTTTATTTCAGATGCGGTTGCCCTGAAGGATATACTCTCCATTATTACTACAACCAGTGCGTTGATGAAAATGAGTGTAACAAAAACCCCTGTGGTAACACTGGTAACTGTTTCAATACCCTAGGAAGTTACAGATGTGGCTGCCCTGATGGATATCAGTTTGATAACGGTCTGAACATTTGTATTCAGGTAATTTTCATTTCAAATATTATATTTTTCTAAAAACTGATATTTTGATAGGAAAAATATTTTAAACTCAGTTGTTGGTGGCCAGTTCCTAGATTGTTGCTGGACAATAAATGTATTCAATAAGTTTATTCCTAACATCTCATAATATATAAAAACAATGATAATCAAACTTCTGAATAAACTGGCAAAAGCCAAGTGAAACAATGAGGAGCATGATTTTGGATAGACTCTGTGAGAAATCATACATGAATGTTCATTGGTAATAAGTTGATATCTTTTATGCTATTATTTGGGAAGTTACTTAACTCGTGACATACATTTGTCTAAATCCTATTCTATAGGATTTACTGAAAATATGTATATTTTCAAACCATTTTGTTGATTCATAATATGACTTCAAGATTAACCATTAACCAAATGCTGTCCTCATATGACAACGCTTTTGGGAAAGTCGAAACTTGGGTTAGCTTACCTAATATGAGGTCTCAACATTCAACGTGCGATTCCAGTACATGTTTATCTAAAAAATATGAAATATTAAAATGAAGATAATGTAAATAATACTATTGAATATTTTAATAGTATTGATCTCAAGATGGTGACCTAGTTGATGGTAACCTAGTTGATGTTGATGTTTGGATAGAGCTGCCCGGGCCTCATCTGCTAGATATCATTTTCGTCTTTTATTATTATAAACCCTGGTAATTTTATTGTAATGTTTGACCAATACTAACTTCGTTATGGTTGTGAAAATCAATTATATATATGACATTGGACTACTGACTATTGACCTTTCCAAATTTCGTTTATTCTTAAGAACTACCGATGCCTTATATTAGGTTGAACAAACCCCAAATAATCAATTTTATGAAATACGAGGTTAGGTGACATGGTTAACTTGGAAGTCCGAACTAATGAAATGAACCTTTCTAATACGTTAATCAGCATAGACGAAATATTTTATTTTCATAATTTACATGCACCCAACACAATGATAATATAACACCAACATACAAATAATATTTTCATATTAGTGCAAAACATGATTTTGAAATGCAGACATTTCTCTGGGCTCATATAATAATACTCCACACTAGTTTAAAACACACTAGTTTAAAAATGTTTTGAATGTTAGCTTAACTCAACAATATCTAATTTCCCAAAAACTTATAATGTTTGAAAGTGTGTACCTTGGCGGCATCTCAACTATTTTCATATATTCAATTTCAATTAATTCATTTTTCACTGTATTCTTGATTAAATGATGTCTCATCAATGTGTTTAGATCGCTTATGTAATGTCTGATTTGTGTACAACGTTTGTACCATATTGTCTGAATAATAATACAATTTCTTATTTTCCAATTTACTTTGATTTTCCAAATATGTTTTTTGTAGCCTCAGTTATACCTCATATTCCTTCTCAGTACTAGATGAGACTAGTCTTTTGTTTCCTGCATGAAATTCAGGCACCTGAAAGCATAAAATAATAGCCTGTATATGATTTTCTATCAGTACAGTCACTTGCCAAATGAGCACCGCAATCATGTAACATAATACTATCAGAAGAGAATTTCAAACCATAACTATTCGTGTTTTGTGAATATTTCAGTGTATGTTCACCTTGTTTACATTGATTTTCATTATAACCATTATTAAACTGGCATAAACACTTTGACTTAGTCAAAAAGGAATATCTGACTCAGTCAATTTTACAAGATACATCGAATTGTCTATATACTGTAATTTGGAAACTTTTCACAAACACTACTCTTTTTCAAATACATATTAGCCTCAATCGATTCAGTGTTTACATTTCATCATATTACATTTTCTCAGAATCCGAATGACGAATGACTAGAGTAATTTCATTATTTGGTTCGTCTATTTCAATAAGGCTATGATTGATATAGAACGATCTTAAGATTTTATAAAAACACATGGTTCATAATCGTGCTAGCAATCGCACGTTAAAAGGTGAGACCTCGTTAATCCTTATCTCCCACACGTTTATACTTTTGAAGGTTATCGTTTGTACGGGGCGATTGCTGGTTACCTGAATAAACAGATTTCAAACCGAATAAACAGATCTGATTTCTCATAAATCGAATGAACTAGAACATCTTCAACCTTTTTGTATCATACTAGTTGTTGCCTGCGGCTTCGCCCGTGTAGAATTTGGTAGTTGTAGTACTAATTAGTACTGTGTCACTGTATCGTTGCTGTTCCAATGTTTTGACTTTTGAATCAGAATCAACGAACTTAGGCGTGCGCAGCGTTATAGAACAGTGCTTTCAAAAAATTGTTCTACAGCTCCACCTAGTGGCGAGTTACAGAAAAATTGATAGCCTAAAAACCTTCTCTATGAAAAATTACTTATACATGTCAAGTTTCATCACGATCGGTTGAGCGATGTAGAAGTTTATCACTTATTAACCAACCAACAAACGTCCATTTTTATATATTAGATATTGCATATTTTAACTTTAATACCTTATTTTCGAAAACATCATTACTTACTTACATAGCCATCTGGCAATATTATGAAAACATTTTATTGTAGTTTGTCATTTAAGAAAGCTTTAGTAATATCTAAGTGGGTGGTATTTGAATTTAATTGCGCACTGCTAATCAACATTTTACCTTTGCATAAAACCTTCTGCTACTAATCTTGCCGTATATGTCACCTTATACTTTCTAGAACGCTAATCAAATCCAAGGCTTCACTTTTTCAAAAACTTCTAGGTCCTTCTCTAACGCTTCTTTTTTCTTTTTTGTGTTCGGTCTGTACAAGGTTTCTTCAAACATGACTGGATCATCCAAATCTGGATTCTCAAGACAAATATAAGTATAATTATCACTGAAGTTTTCAGGCTCAGGTGTTCTTTCAGATCTTCTGACATTTTCTGGAAGAGCTTGCAAGGTGCCTTATCGATTCAGTGTTTACATTTCATCATATTACATAAATGAATGACCTTTTTACCTCGTTAATTAGCATAGACTGACTTTTCTTCTACTTGGGAGCTGTCTGATTTGTCCATTTCTCTCGTCCCTTGAAAACACTGCAGCCTCATGGTCTTGTTGCGTTTTTCTCACATCTAAGAATCTTTTGTCCTGTATAAACAAACATAGTAAATCATCTGTACTTACCTAATCGATACATTTTCATTTCTTCTGTTGAATCTCTGAAATGTTGTAACATTGTTTCATAATCAGGCCAATGAACCAATGATATATATTTAATCTGACTTATTTAAACTCATTTGTGGATCTAATAGTAACAAATCATTATCATCTTTTCTTATCTTGTCAATAGAGTCTGTGGTTTAATAAAGTTGCCATGAGGCCATCAAAAAGCTCTACATAACTTGTTAGAGTTCTAGTTGATATTGAAAGCATAGGGGAGAAAATACTGCATGTTATATTAATTTGTCATTTTAGGTTAGTTCTGCCTGTACTGGAGCTCCATGTGCATTTGGATGTACTGCGGCTAGTTCTGGTTATTCTTGTGGCTGTCCTCATGGATATCAGCGGATTGGCCAAGGACATTGTTTATCAACTATTACTTCTGCATACACAGGTTATGGTCAAGAAATCGGAGATGTTCCTGTTTATCCTATTGATGATAGGTATTCTACTAGTTCGAAAGATAAGCTCATTACCAGCGAAGGATGTTTTTCATGTAAGGTAAGATTGCACCAACCAATTTAAAATTGAATGAAATTTAAACTATGAAATAAAAACCTCAATTCAGGTAAATGGAAGACACAGGAGGGCCTCTATGCAATTGAATTCCACAAAATTGGGTATTAATGATACTTTGAATAATATTGTTCATCAAAACAGAGCTGGAAGAAGACTCAGGAGGCACCATCATGGCGAAGATATTGAACTGACAATTAGTTTATCTCAAACAAGGCATAAAATGAGGATTATAAAAATGCAGCCATCAGTAAAGGTAATATTTATTCATATTCATCATTTCCATTTGAGAATTCCTTTTTTTTTCAGACTGAAATGTCCTATAAAATCGTCAGAGGAAATGAAAATAACATTTTTGAATTAGTTAAGAAACATGGAGTTTGGGCACTTCATTTTAAACGGAGACTGAAACAAACAGGTGCTTTCGATTTAGTTATCCATGGAAGACCAGAAACAGATTCAAGTAGTGAATATGAACCCTATGAAAAACCATTAACATTGCGGGTTCGAATAGTAGTTATCGAATAAGATGGTTAATGTCTGCAAAACATGAAACTAGTTGAATTATTTATTTTTTCCATGAATGAGATGTATTAAATTTCGCTCATGGAGAAATTTTCTTTCCACCAATCGACAATATAGTAGATGGATCTGATCCATCATGTATCTTTAAGTATAAAATATTGATTTCCTAACACGTCTATAACTTGGAGGTCGTCAAGGCATTTGTTTCATTTTTTGTTGAAATAATAAAGTTATTTGTGATACTTGAACATTGCCATATTATCAAAAATGCCACTGCCAAATTATATGTGTTCTTGAATTATCTATTTTGACATTGACAAAAGATACTGCCAATTGCTAGTAGTTTTTGCGATTGATACTAGATTGTCTTTCAATTTGAAACTTCAACTTCTGAATTTTGAACTAGAGATAAAGTATTAAAAAAATTATCACAGTGTGAAATTAGTAAATGAACGATGATTTTTGTTTTATTAAAAAAATTATTACAGTGTGAAATTAGTAAATGAACGATGATTTTTGTTGAAATTCATATTTATGTGTATAGATAAGTATTTAATTAGTTACCCTAAATGTAATGTTTGTAACGATTTGTAATATATTTTTGCTTTATGATGAAAATTTATTTATTTTTATTTGTTTATACATTTTTGAAAATCGTAAAAAATCATTTTTTAATATTCATTTGCCTACAGAATATTATCATTTTGTAAAAATAACAAAATTTTCTCAGCCAACCAGCATGGATTCATAGAAAAACAGTCGAAGTTCATTGTTACTATAAGAAGATAGTAAGTAGAATTTACATGCTGGGCAGTGCCCTGTTGGGATCCTTTGTGATCAGCAGCGTGTTCGAATGTATCGATCAGAGTATCTTGTTGAGTAAGATATATAAATACAGGATTAGCAGTACATCTCACCAGTGTGCATGCATCTTTCCCAGCTCAATAAGTCAATATGTAGCGATCAACGACATCAGTTCTCAGAAGAAACAGGTCACAATTGGACTTTTTTAAGACTCTGCACTTTGCCCCGTCCATCTCAATGACTTAGATAAACTACCGGTCAAGCTTTTATTCACCATATATGTAGTAGTCATAATTTCGAATACATCTGATGATATAATACCAAAAGAATGCCAACCGATTGGATTTAAATACTGAGAAATCTAATTCAATGCGTTTTATTAATAGACAATATAGATTAAACAAATTTTTCATCAAAAGATGACATTACGAGAAAAACGTTGAAGAAGACAAGTTTTTGAGCCTTCATATTAATGACTTTCTTTTGTGGAATAACCATTGTCAAGTACTGATATCCAAACTCAATTCCTTCTCTCATCATCAGTTTGAGAATCTGAAATCGTTCCTAAATTAAAACATCTTATGAGATTACAGTATGCTGAGATACATTGAACAAAGGTTTTGAAGATTATTCAGTTCATCATCCAATATGGTATTTCTTATAGGAGTTCGATTGCCATTCCTATTTATATTTGAAAACAGTTATAGTGAATAATTCAAAACTTGAAATTAATACTCGGCAAAATATGATTATATATTTTTCAGTAATACGAGAAGTACTAAAATTCAAATACAGCAATTTCCCCTGGAGTATTTGATTCAATTCCAAATAGTATCAAAAGAAGCGAAACAATATACGGTTTCAAGAAAGCTATGAAAAACTATTTAATCAGCGGTCAGCGGATTATCCACAACACGCGAAGGCTTTTCAAATGAACGAGAAGGTTTCTCTTCTATCAAGGTAGCATTGTTGGTAGTCAGCAGCACCCCTTGAATGAAAGTGTGATGGATACGTCGTAATTTGGCGACTATTCGCCGCACTGCGGGCGAGAGTACCTAATCTATCACACACGAGCAGGATGTTGTGTCACCAACCTGCTCTTAGCCTGCATCTTCTATATCTCATTAGCCGTAATGTGCATGATCTTGAGTCACTCTATATTTGAAAGTCAATGGCCTTCCTATTGTCAGGAAAAGTACAATCATGGAGTAGGAGATTTGTAATCAAACTTCTGTGGAGATACATATTTTTTTAGCATCTTTAGGTCAAGTTAATATAGCTCCAGATGTACGTCACATCACAATCATGTATTCAAGCCATGCAACTTTTTGGTGCGGGCTCACTACTCTCATAGCAATGCATAAGGCTTTCTTTCAGCTCATGCGTCCACTCAAAGCGCCGGGTCCGGTAGCATTGCATTCGTTGCATCCGTAGCATTGCATTCGTTTCCAGACCACTCAACGGAGTGGTCTGGAAAGTTCGAAGGGGAAATCTCGATATTCCATCCTATTTTACCCCTCTTATCGGACAATATTTGCCTCACTCGGAGCTGAAAACTTCACCACAAATATAGTCTTGTTCTGATGTTCGACGTTCTGATGAGCCTGAAGGAATGGGAATGAATAGTTCCAATAGATTCGGCACTTCTCATTCCTCACAATATATTCAATATCTTCTGAAGCTAAGGGCAATACTGGTGTCTCGTCAATACCTTTAAAGTACCGTAGGTGGTAATGAAACACTCTGAGAGCCGCGTTATGTTGATAAATATAGGTTGAAACCACATATGCCGGGTAATTCGACAGCAAGTGTATAAGGATCTCAGGCTCCTCGCGGCAGGTCCTGCACCTGATATCATCAACCTCTATACCCATCATGCGACTGCTGTGGACTGAAGTGTTGAATACACTATCCTGGCAGGCCATGATGAATCCCCAGTTTTCGATTTTAGCTCACACAATGTGCTCCGAGACAAATAATGGGCCAGTAAGATTACCAGATCTTACTATTTTGGACTATTTTCTATGGGGGACATTGAAAAATAGGTTTTACGCTGGTAGAGAGATAGAAAATGTGAAAGACTCGAGATTGAGGATTTTGAATGATTTTGCAACAATGCAGCAAATAAGTGTATTGAGGGCAATAAATAATATGAAAAACCGAGTTCAAAAATGTCTCGAAATGGATGGACTCCAATTCGAACATTTATTGCGCCATCAATTTTTTTGTGTACATAAATTAATTCATTTCAATTTTCATTACAATTATATTGTTTATTTCGGATGCTATTATTGCTATCAATTCTTTTTCAGAATATTGAAACACATTTAATATNCTGGGCATGGTCACCTTCAAGGTCCTGAAGAGTCTTAACAGCAATTTTAAGAGTAATAAAAACAAACCTGCAACACGGCTGTCCTAACCAAATTGATGGGGGGTTTGATATTGCTCTCATACAAGAACCCTGGGTGTACAGGGGAAAAATAATAGGATTGGGGGCATCAGAGGGAAGTTAATTTATGATAGAACCTCAGAGACCCCAAAAACATGCATAATTATCCGTAAAGGATATCATCCTGAGGAAATCATCATTGGATCAGCATACCTTCCTAACGACAGTCCGGAACCATCACCAACCAGAGAAGTGGAAGAGTTGGTTAGGACCTGCCAAGCAGAGGGGCTACATCGACCAGGTTAGTATGATTTTCATAAAAGAAGTGGACAGCACTGCCTGTAGATTTGTTTTCTTGGAATCCATGCTGAGTATCGTTTATCGAGTGATTTAGCTTCAAGTCAGAATTCAGCCTCTCTAAATAGGCGTATTCAAATATTTTTGAAAATATGAAGGGAATGGTTATGGGACGATAATTAATAACCAGTTGAGGATCCCCTATTTTCAGAATCGGAACGACCCTGCCAGTCTTTAGGTAATCTGGAAAATTACCATTTGAAAATGAGAGGTTGACGAAATAGGTCAAAGGAGATATTATAAAAGAGACAACCTTTTTTAATGAAAATGATGGTATGTCTTCGAAGCCAGCAGATCTCTTATTTTTTAACTTATTTTGTAGTAGTTCAGATAATTCCAGTTGCGTATACGGATATAATAAAAACATTGTCTGCAGAGAATATTCGGAATTATTAACAAAGTTCGTAGCAAAACCATCCGGTATAGTCTTAAGTATATCAAGTGGGGCACTTTTAAAAAATAAGTCGAAAGAATTAGCAACATCTACGGGACTCTCTAGTAGGTTATTTTCATTAGTTAGGAATGAAATATTTTGCATTTCAATATTCTTATTTTTTGAAAAGTCTTTTATTACTTTCCAAGCGGTTTTTGTGGGATTATCAGATGTTTCAATTAGATATTGATAATGTTTCTTACGGGTTGCCTTTAACAGGTTTATATGATCCTTTTTTTTTTATCTTTATAATATTGACGTAGTTCAGGAAATGTCCTTGATAACGCATGTAAGTTTTTTAAATTAGTAGACGATTGTCTTACATCATTATTTATCCACTTAGTATTTCTTTTCGCAGATTGTCTAGTTATCAACGGGGAATATACATTAAAGTGAAAGGTGAAAATATTTATAAAGTAAGTGAAAGCTTCATTTGTATAAAAAATATCATACAGTTGATTCTAGTTTTCAGTCATAAGGCCGTGAATGAAATTATTTATTGAACTATCAGTAAAATGTCTTGCCCGAGGGTATAACTATTTTGCAGATCTGCAGGTCAACAAATTGTTCTCAGTAGACAGTGCTCTCGTAATCATGTAGGAGGACAGAAATTTTTGCAGGTCGTGTCTACCAAACATGAATCTTGACAAGGTTAATCATTTTAGACAGAAAAAACTTCGAACCCCCACCCTTTGAGTATGGAAAAATTCCGCATTTTTCATTAAATTGAAAATAAACCTTGCAGGTCGGCAGAAATTCTTGCAGGTCGGATATGCCAAACATGAATCTCGACTAGGTTAATCATTTTCGGCAGAAAAATTTTCCAACCCCCACCCAAAAATTTCACAATTCTCAAAAAAGTGGAAATACATTTTGCAGGTCGGCGGAAATTCTTGCAGGTCGGGTATGC